ATCACAGAATAACAACAACAACAACACGAAAGGCAAACAAACAAAGAAAGAATAAGACCATATTGTCCACCCATTAGATCGATCTATGAAAAAATAATACTAATAATGTTAAAAAATAATATTATAGGCAACCACAGAAAAACAATGTTTGCCTACAAGATACAAAGAAACCTCAACAGATTCCTATTCAAACATTAAAAATAACAACAACACACACAAACACAAACAAACACACATAATAATGTGATGTTTCAACTTATGATTTCTTAACCTTTTTGATTTTATTTTTTTGATTTTGATTTTGAAATTTCTATCCCCACAACTACCAAAACAATTATTCAGCATATGATTTTCATAATTATTATACCGGTAATAATTGCATCACTTGTAAATCAACCTACCACCAACATTACGATCTCATCAAACATTCATTAACGATCAATCGATAAGCAGTCACACAAACAACGATCACAACCATCACCAACACAATCATTTCAAGAAAAAAATCATTACTACCATACATAGATAAAATCTCCAGTAATTTAATTTACAAAATATTAAATTTTGTATAATTTTATATATGCTTTCTGTTTAAATTATATCTCTTATTTCATAGAGTTTCATGCATGCTTAAATTCTATGCTAATAATTTTATGTATATATATTTATGTATATATTTATGTATTATACATTTTATATTATTCTCAAACTTGATATAATTTTCAACCATACATAATGTGAATATACAAATCAGAATATCAACAAAGTTAGGACTGTTAGAGTGTTACATTTTTCCTGTCCTCACTTACGGCTCCTGAACGATTTCTAAAGAAATGGAAAAAAGATGCTGATGAGATGTGGTTTTTGAGAAGAATTATGAAAATTAGTTGAACCTCTCATACCTCAAGTGTATTAAAACAGTCTGGTTATGAAAAGAAGAAATTACAACAAATAATGAATGATCCGACGGGGGCAGTTAAAGTTTTTCGGTCAGGAATGGAAAATTTAACAATTGATAGATTGGAGAGAGAGGAGACTTGTTGAATATCACCACATTTCAACTGCTACAAAGTGTTAAAGTGTTAACTGCTACATTTAAAAATAATATAATAATAATAATTTGTTTTTTATCGCTAAACCTTCATACTAATAGTCACTCACGAGTGATCACTACATTGAATTAAAACTTCTCAATAAAAAACTGAAATATATATACGTATATATGTGTGTGTGTGTGTGTGTGTGTGCGTTTGTGTGTGTGTGTGTGTGTTAACACTTTTGGAAATATTATGCGATCAAGATGCACTCGCCACACGCCTTTTTTTATGAGTCATCTGTGCAAAGACAAAATTGCTTTGCATAAAGTTTAAAACACCTTTGCCTGTAATATATATACAAAACAATTCTGTCAGATATAATAAAAAATAGTTATTCTCTACGGTTCTTCAAAAATAAATCTAAAATATGCTTAAATTTGAAATATGTTCTGTTTTTTAATGATATTAATGAATAATAATTAAATTGGTATTGTTATTTATCTTATAATGACAGTGCTTAACAATATATATATATAAATATATATATATATACACACAACAACAACACACGTTTAGACGACATTTTCCCCGAGATCGGGGGTTGCCGTTTGGCTACCTATGATGAAACCGAAATACCCCTCGACGCCATCCACATCTGTCACTCGCCTCAGTATCATGCAACCCCGCTTTCACCCTGTCCTTCTCCACCTGCTCTCTCCATCCCAATCGCAGACGACCCCTTCCTACCACTCCTTCAACCTCGAACTCCAACGCTCGCCTAATACCGACCCTTTCATCCCTTTTCAACATATGTCCATACCACAGCAATCTCGATCTCCTTATCAATGTCACAATGTCCTCATTCAGTCCCATCATCGACATCAGCTCTGTACTACTACTCCTATCCTTCACTTTAACCCCACACATCATCCTCACCATAGCTATTTCAGCCCTCTGCTGTACACTTTCTTCCTCTCTCCTCAACACCTAAGTTGACCATATACCATCATATACCATCTACCACCATATACCATCGCTGCTCTCACACATGCTTTATATACCCTCCCTTTCATCTTCACTGACCATTTCTTTCCACACAATACCCCACCCAGTTCCCTAAATTTCATCCATCCCACGCGATCTCTAGCCGTAACTGCGCTCAAACATCCTCCATCCGCGTTCAGCTTATCCCCTAAGTAAACAAAGCTTTCCACTCTTTCAATACCACCACTCAACCCCGTCCTTGCGTCCGTCCTATTAATCACACCATGAACACATTTCTTACATTTGAACGTGCCTTCCACCTTTTTCAGTGCCCCCCTCAAACCACTACATCTCTTATGCACCCATTTCTGACATCCTATACACAATACCGAGTTAGCCTTCACTCTCCTGTCACATACCCCACAGGGGTCTATTTTACTTATCACTCGCTCCCCACCTTCCCCACTCACCATTACCTTCGTCTTACCAATATTAACTTTTAACCCTTTCTTTTCAATAACACTTTTCCATCTGTCAAATTTTAACTGCAATTCTTCCATGCTATCAGTCATCAAGACTAAATCATCTGCATACAAAATCTCAAATAACAACCCCTCCATTATGTTTCCACACACAACATCCATCACAATTGCAAACAGAAACAGTGATAACACTGATCCTTGATGCACTCCTACCTTAACACTAAAAGCGTCCGATATCCCCCTTCCAACCCTCACCTTTATCTTTGCCCCTTCATACAGCTGCATCACAGCTTTAACAAGTCTCTCATTCACTCCTTTCTTCCTCAACGCCCATTCAATGACCTTCCTCGGTACTCGATCAAAAGCCTTTTCTAGATCCACAAAACACATGTACAATCTTCGTTTCTTCTTTCTATAATTCTCCTGCAACATTCTCACCATGAACAACGCATCCACCGTTCCCCTACCAGGCATAAACCCACACTGCATTTCATTAACTGTCACCATATTTCTCAACCTCCTCTCAAGCACCCTCTCCACTACCTTCATTCCGTGCTCTAGCAATTTCACACCCCTATATGACCCACAATCTCTCACATCTCCTTTGCCCTTATACAACGGCACCAACACACTGTGTCGCCAATCCTTAGGTATACCTTCATCATCAAACATACTGTTAGCAATTCTCATCAAAACTTCAATTCCTATCACCCCACTCGCTTTAATATGTTCTGCCGCCACTTCCGAAACCCCTGTCGCCTTACCTAGTTTCATTTCTCTAACTGCTTTCTCTACTTCCTCCATCGTCACCTTCTCTATAGGTCCGTGTGTGACCGCAGATTCCACATCTCCATCCCACTCATTCCCTTCATTCATCAACCTTTCCATATGAGCTTTCCACACCTGAGCTTTTTCCTCCTCATCTATGCACAACTTGCCAGATCCATCCCAAACACATCCATTCCCTATAACATCTTTCCTATCCCTCATTGACTGCTTTCCTACTTTGAACATTTTCCTCGAACTCACATCAAAGTCCATTTCCTTCATTAACCTATCTGATGCTATCGTCATTGCAGTTGCCACTGCCTGTTTTGCAACCATCTTAGCCTTCCTATACTCAGACTCCGCTTCCTCCGTCATGTCCCTTCTCCATACCCTAAACCTCTCCTTCTTGACCTCCAAAACCCTTCTTATATCTTCATCCCACCACCACGTCTCACCATGCCTACACTTTCCTTTCGTCCATCCACATACTTTATCTGCCGTAGCCAACACACAGTCCCTGTATCTCTCCCAATATATATATATATATATATATATATATATATATATATATATATATATATGTGTGTGTGTGTGTGTGTGTGTGTGTGTGTGTGTGTGTAGCCCAAAATTTGCGTAATCCAGGAAAATATCA